CTTTATAGAATGCCTCATTACATTCTAGAAAGTACATTCTGCTTTATACCTTCTCTTGCAGAGTATAGGAATGCCTGTCTCACTCACCTGTAATGCTCTTCAAAAATGGTCATAGTTTTATTTTTAAAAAAGCAGAAAATGTATTAAATAATGGAGTATTAACATATTTTGGAATAAGTACTATGTGTACACAGTGAGAAGTCAAACAGCGGGAGAGAAGGGTGTAGACAGTGGAAAGTGAAGTTGCCTTTGGATCCCTGACTCGCATTTCTGCACCCCAGAAGCAGCTTCTCTGAGTAGTTTCTTTTGTATCCTTCCTGGGGCGTTCGGTGCCTGCACAGATCTGCTGCACCCCTGCTCATCAACCCTTACGGTTCCCCACCTTTTCTTCAGTAACTGTGTATCTTGAGTAGGATTCCACATCTGTTAATCTCAGAGAGAGCTCCTTCCTTTTAACAGGTGCGCGGCGGGGTCAGGTATGCTAATTAACAGGTCGCTGTTGGGTATGTAGGGGTTTCCAGCCTTTCGTTTACGCAGACAAAGCTATGGTGAGCAGATATTCTTGTGTGTGTTTGGGTTCCCAAGGTGGGCAGTTGTGTATCCCAGGGGACGTTTTGGTTGTCACCGCTGTGGGGCTGGGGGTGGGGCGCTGCTGAGCACAGGGCAGCCTCCAGCACAGGGAAGGAGCTGGCCCCAGATGCCCTTAGTGTGAGGTTGAGGAAACCCTGGGCTAACAGAAATGTCAGATTGATCTTAGAAATGGCGTCGTTAGCTCAAAGGATGTGAGAATTTAAACTGTTGAGATTGTCATACTGTTTTCCAAAGAGGTTTTGTCAGTTTATACTCCAGCCAGTAGTGTATGACAATGCCCATTTCTTCACACCATTTTCAATACTCTACGTCGTAAAATTCGTCTCTTCCAATCTGGTAATTTTAAGATGGTATTTTTTTGTTTTAATTTATATTTCTTTAATTATGAGTGAAGTTTAGCATCTTTCCATGT